ATGTGTAAATATATATTTTTAATTAACAAGTTCATTACGGAAATTGTTCTTTTCTACAGGCTTCTTATCACAAATATTTTATTAACTTTTACAATACAGATTGTTTCTTCTTTATCATTAAAAATCACAAATTAATATTATATAAAAATATTTATCTTCACTGAAGGTCACAACAAAACCTAACAAAGAAACATAGTCTACATTAAGCATTACAACTAGTTAACAATAGGACAGTTAAAATGGAATCAGTTTTCACTTTTAACACAAACTTATAGACACAAGATTTTTTAAAGATACAGGATCATTTTATATACTGATGTCAATATAACAACATTGTGTCAGAGCAGATAACATGAAATAACAACCCTCTCAAAATACAAACTACCAAGCGTTTATTGATGTGTATATGCCCAATCATGAATGTAATTTAAAATTAATAATCACTGTTTGAGAACAGAGCAGGTTTACCTTTGTTGAAAACTTTTTCGAAATTAGGATAACACCATAAACAGATGTGGATAGTGTTTAACATCTACGGAACCTAATTAAATAGTTTCCTCTCCTGAGTATTTATTAACAGATAGTTTGATTATCCTGAGTAGCTGAGTGGATAGTACTAGCTAGAAATCACCACAAGGTTGCTGGTTCAACCCTGACAAAAGTCAAAAAGGGAACTCAGCTGTCTTTGCTCATTAGGCTTTTAATATAACTATGCTGTCTAAAAACAGCTGATCTTAGGCAGGAACAAAGCTGTCAACTTATTCATTCAACACTCATTGTTTACTCTTCTAGGCATTAAAATAAGCACCCTACCCTGGAGTGTCATTATAAAAATTTAATCTAATCTAAATAGTATTTAATTAAAAATATAATTTGATTTCTGTCTATTATTAATCTTTTTTAGTATAGTGTAATCATAATCAGTGTCCTCTTTTGAAATTGAGTAGTTAAATATAACTAGCTGATTTTGTTGTGTGGTTAATGGTACAATAATTGCAAACAATACAATCTTTGATCTTTAAGCAAAAGGGCTAGGTCAGGACATGATATTATAAAAGTAAGCTCACAAGCACATCAGATAAATATAACACAAATTAATAAAAACTGTAAATTATTAAAAATCCAACATTGATCAGGCTTTACTATAATATTTGATCTAGCAGTAAATCACAAGACATTTTAACCTAAACAATTAAATTTAACTATCCGTAAAACATGGAAAGGTCAAAAATGTACCTCAGACATCAACAATATAATGGAATAAAATGATACATCGAGAAAATCAATATAACAAACAGCTTCACTAAACTACAGAGATCCATTAAAACCATGGTATTCCCAAAAATAACTACTTCCCTATAGGGAAAATTCGCCAATAAAACAAGAATTCGTGTGAATCTAGAAGTACCAAATCTTCGATCAACATACTATAATGTTTGTATATTTAATATGAAGAAAATGTTGCTGGGATAGGATGTTACTGAGGCGTATTCAAGAAACGTTAACCTTTACATTTCTCCAAGTGAAAGTCATTAGTAAATTGAACTGCCAATAATTTTCTATAAAACATAATAAGTAAACACTGAGTGTATTTAAAGTTATAACCATTAAAATAATTATTACATTTGTGTGATGAAAACCAGGTATCTCTTGTGCAGTTACACATGCCAGGTCGGTTTTTAAGATCAACCCTAATACTGCTTGTATGTGTATGATGCAGTTATTTTCTGTAGCTTTCTGAAATGTATTTGCAATCAAAAACCATTCAAAAATGAAATTCTAAGGGGTTATGCACAAAGAACTATTTAAAAATATTAAACAACATTACTCTGCATTTTCGCCAGCCTGGAAAACGATTAGGTAAAACACGACGATTAGGATAACGATTAGGATTTGCATTGCTGAATCCTTACAGAAAGTTTGGTCCTATTGCCTTTGCAGTTTTTGAGTCAGACTTCAACTAACTTTGAAATACATATCATGGGTGAAAGCAAGGATCTCTATAACTTCTTAGTTCTTACATATTTGAGCATTTGTAAAATCTTGCAACTAGTGTACAAATCAAGACTTAAGAAGCTTGAACTATCGACCGAGTATTAAAAATTGTTATCAGATTCAGTAATGAAGTTTTGAGACTTGTGATATGATATTTTACATTTATCACCCTATCTTTATCTATGTACACTAATTTACACTAATTTATTTTCACCTTAAGTTAAAATATAAACATTACAATTTTGATTTCACAGAACATATTCTGAAGTAAAAATCCTCCAAAAATACTGTTACCATTCATTGATCTTGATGATCAAAATAATTAAAAGAATAAAAATAGATATACATAATTATAATTAATTCAATATATATACAATTAAAGTGTTTAAAAAAATATATACTAAATATTTGATGTGATACAACATATTCTGCAGTCAAATTCTTATAAAAAATACTATTACTATATACTGGTTTTCATTGTAAAAATTAATTAAAATAATAATTTTAAAATACATCATATGTTAAAAAGTATATGAAAGATTTGATTTGATAAGGCAAATCCTGCAGTCATATTTTTATAAAAAATACTATTATCATAGACTGATTGGTCAAAGTAAAAAAGTTAAAAGATTAATAAAATAAATTACATTAAATTGTTAAAAAATATATGCTAGATTGTACAATACAAGAAAGACTACATATAACAGTTAAAGCTACAGACAACAAATCAGTGTAAAAGCTTGCACTGCAAGTACCATTGATAAATACACAAGAGAAAACAAATTTCAAATTCATGCAGCATGTGTATGTTTATGTTATTAGCTAGTGCAGTTTAATTGAGCTGATAAGTTTTCTTAATTCTATTGAAAGATTAGTTGTGTCATGGAAGTTTGTTGGATGTGGGTGGAACCCTGCTATATCCTGGCTCCCCCAACAGCCCCAGAGAGATCCTGCTCATAATCCTCCGATGGTGGTAGATCATAGCGTGCTGGACCTGAACCTGAACTGGAAGCATACCTGTAATCAAAACCACTCTTATACTGAAAAAATTCCATATATACATACATATATATATATATTATTAATCCATATATTTAATATATATTCTTAAGATTGTCTGAACGACAAAGTGTCTTCAGCGGCTGCTTCCAACATTTTCTCCTATTTGTATCCTGCATATTAAATATTATAGTTAGTACTAGTTTAGTGCTACTAGATTAGTATTAGTTTAGTTATATTATTGTTATTATCTTATAAATGGTCTCCTGAGAAATACACTTCTAAATTAAATTGGGATAAAAGGTGATAAAACTGAAGACATGATATTTATGAGATTTATGATGTATGAGATTTTTTTCAAATCATTGTAAAAAAAACTTAGGTATGGGAGGAGTTATATATTCGGCGACTGTTTGGTAAATTTAAATTCTACAACCAAACTGGAACTAAGAACCACCAGTCAGCTAACACTGTGGTCTGTGACGTTCCCGTATTACGTTTTTCAGTAGACCTATGGTTGTCAACCTTTTTCTATGGATTTACAGGTGTAATGAAATGAAATGAACAATGAAATGAAATGAATGACTTGAAATTAAAAATCATTTATTTACACAGGCAAAGCCTGTAAATGGTATATGCCATTTCTTTAAAATACCAACAATAACAAGTGCTAAATGTATATTTAGTGAGTGTCTATGTGTGTGCAGGTTGTTAATATTCGACAAACATTGATTGTTGGGATTGATTTTTAATTTATGACTGCAACTGAAGATGAGCTTTCACATCTTGAAACATTTTACTACACAGCATGAGTAGCATTTGACACCAGGCAACTATGTAAGTAGATTTTCATCTAAAATTGTATGTGGGAGTGCCAGATGCAGTCCCTTTAAGCACTGGCGAAGTTAGGTCTACTTATCTGATTGTCTCACAGAGTAATTAAGGGATGAAGTGGGGGGAATAACAGTAACAGAGGTACCAAAATACACATGACAGACTGACAACACAGTCAATAATCACAATCTAAGTGGCAATGGCAGCAAAGGACGAAAGATGACAATAACTGAGTCCATTGCTTGAAGAATGGCGGATTTGCTGGATGGGTTAGCATATTCCTTCCTGAATGGGGGCAAAAGCAATGGTGGCGATAAGAACACCCCACCAAGTTTGTTCACTGGGCCCCCCTCTCCCAATAATCTTTAAAAACATTAACACAGGTATTTTGATTCAAGCTTGCACTTGGGCTTGGCACGGCATCTCCCGAGGCACCGCATTGTCTTCCATGATCGCGGAAAAATCCTGAATACCTTCATAGGTCACGGAAATTTTATCAACGTTGTCAGATCCCCAGGGCAAAATCTTGAATCCTTCCCGCAGTCACAGAAACATTCATCATCTATGTGATTGCAACCAAACCCAGGACATCTCCTGCGGTCGTGTAGACAACATCACCTTCCCCCCAGATCGCGGTCAAATCCTTAATATTTCCCGCGGGTACAGAAACATAATCTTTTTCCGCAATCGTGGCAAAATCCTAAATCTCCCGCGGAAAAAGATACAGCATCGTCTTATTAGATAGCGTCAAAATCTTGAATATCTCACACAGTCACGGAAACATTAATAAGGCTGGTTGTGTTACTAGCCTAGTAGTTAGCGCCTCGGACTTCGGTGCTTGAGGGACGGGTTTTCAACTTTAATGGGTTTGGACCGCTTTCCCTTAAAAGTGTTTGAAATTACTTCATAACAAAAATGCCACTGGCGTAGATACAAGCAAAAAAAAATCGTCTTCTTTTATCATAGCAAAATTCTGTCTCCCACGGTCATGTGGACATCATTGTCGCAATCGCAACAAAATATTGAACATCTCCCATCTTTGGAGACATCGGTTTTGTCAACCGTGAGGTAATGTTGATCTCTTCGACATCCACAATCGCAGCAAAAGCGTAAATTTTTCATTCACGTGGTCTATCACAATTGTAAAAGCTTGACATCGAGCTCGATTTTTTTACTTTGTGCTAGATCTGAAGATCTCTCAAGGTTTAACAAAATTTTGTCATTAAAAACGTGTAGTAATATTCTCATATAAATATTGTTATGATAGGGGGCCCGTATGGTAGGGCCCCTCGCGAGTCCGTGTCCCGGTAAAATTTGCAAGATACCCGTTCAGCTGACGGCATGGTAACTCAGTTGGCTAAGGCGTTGCACTGACGAGTGTGGTGTTGGGATATTTCTTCATGTGCAGGTTCCAATCCTGTACATGTGCAATCATGAAATACGAAGTAGTGTACATGAAGTATATAAGTATGTTTCATTTGTATACAAGTAAGTTTGGTAAATCGTTCTTTTATCACCAATTCATCCAAACTATATTCCGTAATCGCGGCACTAACCTCATCGCCTCCAACGATCATGGTCATTTTGTATATTTCTCCCTCGTTTGCGGGAACATCTCAATTAGCATTAAGATAACATCTTCACGTTGTTAAGATTGGTCCCAAAAGTTGACTTGGTTGGCCTATTTCGGCAATATTGAAAATTATAGGTCACAAAAACTTTGAAGACATTTTCTTTTATCGGTAGAGCATTATCCACACAGAAAATATCCCAATTAGGTATTCAAATCCACAAATAAAGATTGGGAATACATTTTCAAACAATTAGTGTTTAAAACTTCTAGTTTGAAGCTAAGAGACACATCAATCACGTTAAACTATGAATATACTGAAAATATGTTAATGTACAGCCGTGCCCCTTGCTACCTGCTCGGTACTATTCTGGTAATGAAAAATTACGAGTCCTGGTAAATTTTTTTTTAGTTTTGGACTCTTCATCTTTGGACCTCCCGAAATTGCTCCACCGGCGACCTATAGTTTGGGATCCGCTGGGTTAAGGTGACCACTGACTTAACCCCTTTTGCCCATAAATGCGAGATTTAGTGACAAATAACACATATTTTAAAAGCTCCTTGAAAGATGATTTCTCATTTCACTCTTTAACATGATGTAAATTTTGTTCATTGGTGCATTTAAAAATATTCTGAGTTTTCAGCAAACTGTAGATCAGACGGTAGCCCAAGATAACTATTTTTGCCTTAGAAATTAAGAAATCACAGCATAACACAAGCTCACTTGTGCTGTTACCGACCCGACAGCTTGATGTTCACAAAACTTACATACTAAATATGAAATATGTTACGTATTGTAAATAAAATAATGAGAGTACTTTTTGTTTGAATTGAAACAATAAGAAACACATCTTACCTTGAAGTCCATCCATTGTGGTGTGGCATAAATCCGACAGTGTTCTGGTAGCTGGGAGGATACGGGAAGGCAGCAGTAGGGTAAGAAGGAGGGGAAGTGGTGGAAGGGTACAATGGAGGAGGAGATGTATAAGGAGGGGGGCAGGTTGGGGGAGCTTGAGGATGATGTTGGGAAGACTGTTTGTACAGATTAACCGATTCTTTTACCCTTGCCACAGTAACCTTGGCTGCTTCACCACCTACGGAATAAAAAAATATATTAGATTATATTCATTAAGGAAACATCAAGCTGCATATTTTAAGGGGAAGATAAGTGAAAGATGAGGATTGAATGAATGAGATGATAGTAAGTGACTAAGATCAGCATGCTCATGTGTACAATCTATTAAAGGATGATTATGGATAGCTGGGTCCAGTTTATAAGAGACTTTATACCATTTAAGGGAATTAAACAAAAAATGAAATATTAAAAGAAACACACAATGAGAGTCGGAAATGTTAAAACTTTGCCCACGATGTATAAATTATGCCTATTATTCACTTGTTTTACCATTGCTTATATGTAGTGTACTGTGAAATGCATTTTGAAAATAAAGTACTAGTTAAATTGGATGCATTGCATGACTTCCAAGTGCCATGACCAATGATATAAGTCAGTGTCACGACGTCTAAAATATGCAATTTTTGAGCTGTTTCACAACATCCTATATAAAATATTTGTCTGTTGCACGACGTCCAAATCTCATCATGTCCAAAAGTACAGTAACTGCAAGAAAAATAATAATAATAATCTTTATTGTCATTCAGCACCATAAAATTACAACAGACAACGTCTAAAGTCAGGACACAAATATGACATCATGCTTAAATCTATATAATCTTATGAAGCACATTGAACATTTTATTGCATAAACTGTACATATAGGCCTATTATTTAAATTTAAAATTCTAAGATGGAATGCTCTTACCCAAATCTATAAAAACTTAAGTAAATAATACTTCAAAACTAAACAATTTGTAAAAAGAGTTTTGCTCATGCAGGCTGCCTACTAGTGGCCAATAGTGTTAGGAGTTCAGAGTAATTATTTGCATTTTAAAAATCGTCTATAGAAAAAAAGGCTTTGCTAATTAGCAATCTTGATAATGTCGAAGGCCATTTTAATTTTTTCATAAAATCAAAACAAATGGTCATGATACAATTTTGTTTACATACATATGAAAATGGGGTTATTGTTACAGTTGGTGATATTTTAGTGAATTCAAGTAAAATTGTTTAAACGTACTTATCTAAAGTCGTTTTTTTTTTTTTTATCAAAGTTTGTTTCACTTTTCATGATTTCATATTGTATTGGAAAAACTAATTACAAAGTTATTTTCAGGGTTTGCTTTAACAAATTTCAAGTCAATGATAAGTTAAGGAATATAGTGTAAGAAATAGATAATTTTTAACTTAACTCAAAGCAATAGAAAATTTGTAATTAAATCAAAGATATCGCAGATTTTTAAGTCAAAACGTGATGCTAGCTGCTGTTTACTTAAAAAAACTATTATTTTAAATAGTCAATGAATTATTAGGTAAAACAAATCTTACTTCTAAGGAAGGATACTGTGGTGTATACAAAAATCATTGACTGTTATAAATGTCACATAAAAGAGACACATATAACCCAAATCCTTCGGTTACGATGAGGCCTCACACATCAGAAAACTGCAATTTTGGTGGGAAAAATTGTCACTAAAAGCTGAATCTTGTAACGGTCAAATATTGAGAGTAGGACCGTTGCCGTTCACAATTCAAATAGCGCGGGGTGTAGTTCACCGAGCGGCCACGCACTGCACCAGCGTCGCACTGAGAGCTCTTAAAAGACGTTTTCCAACGGCTACGTACAGCTAGTCTTAAACTTAACATTGAGAAGTGTAAGTTTTGTCAGACAGAGCTGAAATATCTAGGACACATGATAAATTCAGAGGGTATAGGAACTGACCCCGACAAAGTTAGAGCTATCGTCGAGTATCCGCGCCCAACGACGGTAACACGTCTTCGTTCATTCTTAGGCCTTGCGTCATGGTACCGGCGATTTATAGATAAATTATCGAAGATCGTCGCTCCTCTCACTGGCCTCTTAAAGAAAGGTGTGAAGTGGAATTGGAGTGAGAAACAAGAGAAAGCCTTTTGCGAGTTGAAAAATCGTCTCGTTTCGGCACCTATTTTATCGTGTCCAGATTTCAGTCAAACATTTAAACTGCAGGTTGACGCGTCAGATGAGGGCCTCGGGGCTTCCTTAACTCAAAAGAGAAATAATGCCGAAATTGTGATCGCGTATGCTAGTAGACTTCTGTCCAATACTGAACGAAAATATACCGTTACAGAAAAGGAATGTCTCGCTTTAGTGTGGGCCGTTAAAAAGTTCCGACCATACCTAGAAGGGTACAAATTCGTAGCTGTAACGGATCACATCGCCCTCAAATGGTTACTGCGACTCAAGGAACCGTCCGGCCGCTTGGCTCGTTCGGTATTAGAAATCCAACAATACGAATTTGAGGTCGAGTATCGTAAGGGAACGGCTAATAGGGTCGCTGATGCACTATCACGAAATCCCATTGAGCACCCGTGTGAAGATGTCCGAACAATGGTTTGCCCAATAATCGCGCAATCAGACAAAATTATCGAGCAGTCGGAACCAGATCATTGGTACGACACTTTGTTTAAAAAAGTAAACAAAAATCCGTCTTCGTATGAGAAATTTACAATCCGGGAAGGCAAGTTGTATAAGCTTGTCCGAAGAACCGGAAAATCGGGCGTGATGACGGAAAGCTGGAAACTTTGTGTTCATGCGTCAGACCGAATGAAAGTACTACACGAGACCCATGACTCACTTACTGCCGGTCATTTTGGGTTCAAGAAAACGGCGTCCCGAGTCGCTGAGAATTATTTTTGGCCGGGTTGGAGAAAAGAAGTTAGACAATATGTAAAGACTTGTTCAAGCTGTCAACGATTTAAAGTCAAACAAGTAAAACCAGCGGGTCAAATGCACTACCGTCCACCGGGTGGACCGTGGCATACGGTGTCCGCAGACTTGCTAGGACCGTTACCGAGATCTAGAAAAGGAAATACATTCATAATCGCTTTCCAAGATCAATACAGCAAATGGGTAGAGATGGCACCTCTGAGATGTGCCACGGCCAAAAACGTGACGGACAAATTTAAGGAGTTAGTACTACTACGATATGGGGCACCCGAGACATTAATAGTTGATAATGGTACCCAGTTTTGTGCGAAACTCTTCCAAGAGATGGCTAGGGATTGGAACGTTTCCTGTCAACACACGGCCCCCTATAGTCCTCAAGGCAACCCGATTGAACGGCGAAATAGAGTGATTAAAACCCTCGTAGCACAGAGTGTTAGGGGTGATCACAGGACGTGGGACGAACACCTTCGCGAGATTTCGTTCGCGATAAATACAGCTACCAATGACTCGACACAGTTCACGCCAGCAATGCTATGTTTCGGCCGCGAGCTTCGAACGCCTAGGGCGTTACACGGACCTTCATTTGAACGGACTTCGGAGTTAGGCGAGGCGGAGCGTGTGGAACAACACGCCCAACGGATGCAACGGTTTAAAAGGTTGTACGATACCACACAACGGAACCTACAAACTGCTTTTAACGTACAGGCTAGACATTATAACTTGCGGAGAAGAGATGTGCGGTATGACGTAGGTCAGTCTGTCCTAAAACGAACTCACGTACTTTCGTCGAAAGCTGAAGCTATCGCGAGTAAATTAGCGCCAAAGTATGAGGGGCCCTGGGTTATCACACGTCGATCAGGGTACAATTTGTACGAAGTAAAAGATCCAAATAGTCGTCGCAAACAAATTGTCCATGTTAAGGATCTGAAGCTTTTCCTTGATAGGAGTGAAAATAATTAACGTTCAAGAGGGGTTAGATCAAGTATCCTGTAACTAATATGTACTAACAACTGGGTTCTTGGGATCATTTACATGCTCTACTGCCGAGTTCTAATGCTTTTTTTTACATTTGCAGGGTTTCATCTGGCTTTCACTTGACGCATTGCGCATTTCACCACGCTACTCCATCCATCCTTGCGGTTTGGGCGACGACCTTAAGATGGCAACCATTCGGCCACAAATTAAAATGCGGGATTCCGAATTGCAGGGCTTAATAGGCGATGGATTAGTAGATGGAGTGACCCTAAGTTCATATTTTCGGCTAATCGAACGCCGTAGCCGGTACTATCACACTATACCTACTGCCTGGGCTTTTGACACCGTATTCCTGAGAGACTGGAAGAACGGGGGCATTGAGAAGACCAAAGGGCGAATTCGGGAAATAAAAATTTTTCAAGAAGAAATTTTGTTGTTTCCGCTACACTTACCGAACATTGGTCAGAACGGACATTGGGCCCTGGTCTACGTTCGCATCAGGGACAAGACTATCCAGGCATATGATCCTCTCCACCTTCCTAGGTTAGACGAAATGAAGGAAATCTTCGTATTCCTTCGAGAAGTTGCCCGGCTCCAGTACGCGAGTTTTGATCCCGCCGACTGGAAGATGCTTGAGACCCCACCACAAGCATCGAAACAGCAAGACTCGGTGTCATGTGGTGTATACGTTTGTGCTGTGGCGGAACAAATATCGACAAATAATGGGTCAATACGGGACGTACTTGGAGATGTCAAGACACTCCGAAAGGGGATAGGCGCGGCCATCCGAAGGGGACGTCTCAGCGATGAAAATTTTGAGATAATAGAACCATCGACAGCTAGGGAAATCGAATTAAGATTTGTGAATTGAACGGAACAGGCACAAATGACGCGCTTGGGGGTCACAGGTCCGGCCGGGAAGGAAGTCGTCTTCCAAATGGAAGACAACGTGAGTTTCAGTCATTACAAACAATTCAAAGAAGCCCCAAAATTTGTTAAAACGAATCCTAAGAGAGAAGTATCGGTGTCCCCTGTCCTGACACTTATGGTTGATGATGATGATCTTCGGGTGGTGAACGACCCTTCCATTATCGAGCCACCACCGGATCCAATATCACCTCTTCCCCCATCCCCTAAACCATTGCAACAGTGTGACAAATCGCCCGGGATAGAACGAGAAACGTAAACGAGGAAAAAGAAATTTGTCAAGTTTTACCAAAAGGTCAACCTGCACCACCACTCTCTTCAGCTACTCATCTTTCACCTGACAGACATGCTCCACCTGATGTTGATGT